TAGTGGCATACCTGTTCTTGGAAACGTCATATCATATGAGGCCAGCAAGATACCTGATGTTTTTGAGCCTACAGTGGGACTACTTGTAACGATTTTGCACATGTATACACAAAGCACTTCCACTGCCTCTGCTTTTGTTTGGCTCAAAACTTACGAATCTATTCAAAAGGTGTACTTAGATCATGTAGATCAAGAAAATAATGAGACCGCAAGATATGCTACTGAGGCGCGTTTGGCTATATTGAGCCATTTATCAGGTGGTATGGTGACTGACGGTAGTGGTCTTTACGAAAAACTACTACTTCTTCTTGATCAACAAAGTGGTATTCGTGGTGCACAGGCACCATCTCAAAGAAAAGTTCCGCGAGAACCAAAGGGTGCGTTCTGTAACCTTCATTTAGCAGATCAAAAATGTTATCAGGATTTTGCCTGCAATCAGTTACATCTTCATGAAGCAGGCCCTGTCAGGCATCGAATAAATTTTTTTATGAGACTCATTGAGGTTTTAAAGGCTGAAAAAAGATCCAAGATGCAAATACTTCACCGAATAAAGGATTCTATTTTTTTTGCCCGCTATGGAAATAAAGTAACAGTTCAATGTCATGGTAAGTGGATCCCTTTTTTCAAGACTGTCTATACGGATGGAAGGCTTGAGCAGGCATTTCGAATGCAACAGTTTTCTTGTAACAATAATGGGTGTTCCGATGAGCACTGTAAAGGGATACACGCTCAGGAACGCCGTGTGGTCTCTTCGAGCAGGCAGGTGGATCTTCATAATCCTCAGGCCCTAGCTATCCAGGTTGAGGATGAAGGACAACACCTTCTTTCATTGGCTGGTGTTTACAAAAATCAAGTGTCAGAACCACCTCCTTCACTTTCTCTTTCCTCTCCCATGGTGACCATTGCTTCCCCAACTTCTGAGCTTTGGAGAAGCACGGTTCGGGAATATGTTCGTCAAACAGGAATACCGCAGCTACAGGCCGACGAATCACTGCTTAGAACATTACAAGATGCAAATGTTGTTGGAACACCTGCTGCTTCAACGGAGAGTTTAACACCTTTATTGGATGAACTCGAGCTGCACGCATTTAATTCTAATACCTCACCGCGGAACGAGTCCTGACCATACGAAGGGGTCTTTTTTTAACTCGAATGTAGTGGCTGGTAATATTTTTACGGAGCCAATGATGTGAAAAAAAGAAAAAAATAGCGAAAAGCGGCATTTTGACTCCATTGTTGAGATGAAACGTGTTAGAACGAAAACAGCGAAAAAAAAAAGAAAAAGAAAAGGAAAATGCGTAAAAAGCTGCACGAATGAAGAAAGGAAAATCCAAAACTGGAAGTTCAACGAGAAAAGAAGAGGAAAAAAAATATATACGAGAATTTGATGAAAAATTGAAAAACTGAGAAAAAAAGGAAAGAGTGATGTGGAGGTGCTCAGCAATTATCGTTCTTTCTGGGGAACCCAGAAATGGTAAATTACAGTTATATCCGTGGCTTGAATTTACGATTGTTAATCGTCAGGCTCCTTTTTTTTCTTTTATAACGAAATACTTTTTCCCCTTCCAAAAAAGTAAAATATTTATGTGAATATGCTTCCTTTCTACTTTTTCTGGCTTAATTACGGCATTTTTTTTTTTACTTTGTCTTTGATTTGCTTGATTATTTATTTATTTTACCAAAAGAATTGACCAGATATACTTAAAGAAAAAGGGAATCAAAGTAAGGATTTTTTTTTTTTAACGGAATTATCAAGATTATTTAAAAAAAAAAAAGCATGTTCCCATACATATTTTTTTTTTCATTGGTGATAACTGGATGTTCGGCTTTAGAGCCTTCATATGGTGTTCAGGATGGTTTTTTGGAGTATTTTGCCGCGGTCCATCCAGAGAGGCCTTTTAATTGTTTATGCGGCAATGTGTCCATTATGGGTCATCAGGTTAACGATGATTATTGTGATTGCCCAGATGGAAGCGATGAGCCGGGGACATCGGCATGTACGAATGACAGGTTGGAGGTTAATTTACCTAAAAAATGGAAATTCAGGTGCAAAAACATTGGGTTTAAACCACAAGAAATTCCACATAATCAGATCAATGATGGATTATGTGATTGCTGTGACGGTTCTGATGAGTATTCTGATATTATTGCGTGCCCCAATGTATGCGCTGAGACCCAGGAAATTGAGGAAAAGAAACGTTTGGAGAATGAACGGATCAGAGAAGCAGGAATGCGTGAGAAGGAAAAAATGATGGAGCAGGTGAGGAAAAATCGTGAAGATGACAAGGTCCAACTCGAGAATGAAATCATGGAATTGGAAGAGTTAAGGAAATCCATTGAAGAAAAATCTGTGAAGCTTGTTCCATTTGAAGAAAAAGAAAGGGCAGAGAAAAGGCGCCTACTTGATGAATACAATGCCGCCCGTGAGGTTTGGGAAGAAAAAAGAAAGAAGAATCAAAGAAACAATTTGAATGCAAGAGGGAATTTGACGACAGATTGCATACGATGGAGCCCAACTAAAATTTGTGACCCTGAAGAGGAATCGCCCCTTGTTGATAAGGGTTGTGACGATATTATTTATCCTTTTGAAGCAGGTTTTTGTGAATGTATTAACAAAGAAACGGATTCAAAGGTGGCTTATGATCAAGAATGTGACCATGAACCGTTACAATGTTCGAACGTTTGCGAAAACCCCGAGAAAGATAATAAAGAAATGGATGATGATCGGTTTGATATGGACAATGGCGCTTCATTTGAATTACCAGAGGCACGAGACCTCCGTCTTGAATTGAAGGAATCCCGTGAAAAAGTGGAGAAGCTTTCATCTTCTGTAGAACAAATTCAAAATCGATTGAATCGAAGTATCAACACAGGGGATGTTATCAGAACTTTCAGTAATGAATGCTTTTCTTTGAATACTTCGACCCACACATATGAAATTTGCCCTCTTAAGGATGCACATCAGTATGATAAAGGCACAACACACGGTCAATGCATTGGGAGGTGGGGAAGGTTTGGTGATAACACGTATTCTCTGTGGTCGAGTACGAGTGATTACACTCACATGATATTTGAAAATGGTGATCGGTGCTGGAATGGTGTGACTCGTATGACTGATGTTTACGTGATATGTGGTCCGGAAAACAAGCTGGTTCAAGTTGAGGAGCCATCCATGTGCCGATATACTATGGTGTTTGAAACGCCAGCTGTTTGCGAATGAACTTTGTCCAAAAAAAAAGTTTAACTTGAGTTTTGCTATTGAAAAAAAAAAAAAAAAAAAAGGCATCAAACAGGGAATGATAATAATGTTATTACAATTTGCTTTTTCTTGTGCCTTGGTTATAATCCACTCAACGCTTTGCATTCATATATATAAATATCTTTTGCTTTATATATTTTTTATTTTTGTATATAGTGTTTGTTGATAACATTTTTTTGGTTTGTTGAAAAAAATTGGCAGGCAGATTTGTTATAGAGGAATAAAGGCAACGGGATTATTGGAGCTTTATCCGCAGGTTCTCCATATATGCGAAAATACCGACGACAGAAAAAGGAGAGAACGAAAAGGGAATAAGATGTTGCTTCAGTACGTAGTTAATTGCATCATACTAGCGCTTCTAATTACTTTCGCGTTTAGTTACCAGACGCCGCGTAATAAGGAAATTAATGATAGTCGATTTGCGTTGGCCGGCTTTTTGTTTGGAGCTGAAGGGATGTCTAATGCAGGCTTTGAGAAAGAATTTCAAACGATTGATGAGTTCTTGTCGACATTCAAAGGTATAATCGGGGCATATTATAGATTGCCATTTTCTGGTACGGGTTCTTTTATGCATTACGTGGTTGATAAGGACAACTCAACAACCGTTCCTCCCCTTCTAGAATTGACTTATTTTCAAGAGTGCTACGAATCGACAAAGTGCTTAAAGACTTTTCATAAATCTTTTACTATTCTGAAAGAGGATCCTTTGGGACCATTTGCTCATCCAGAAGTATTAATTAATGGAACTGAATCTTGTGAACCACGTGAAGACTTGGATGGGTTATACTATGTGCCTTGCCGAACTTCACCAATGGGACAACTTGTTGACCATCTCATGGATGTTAAACTGACGTTTTCGCTGTATTCATTGGTGAGGCAAACTGATGGCTCACCGAGGTCGAGAGTGTGGTTTGTAGCATTTACATTTGGAATGACTGGACATAGCTCTGTAATGACCATGAAAGCATCATTGGACTGTGTCGATAGACACATACCTGAGAGACTCCCCATAATGATCAGTTGCACCTTGCTTCCACTGGTCTTTTTGGGTTTTTTGCTTCGTATTCGCACATTTCCTCTTTTTTCCGCTTCAATACTAGAAATATTCGCTTTTCAGAAATGCTGTTTGGATGAGGTACGAACATTACCATCATGTTTCCACTGTCAAGAAGGAGGTTGGCGTTGTTTGGGCTTTCTATCGGATGCGTTTGTGTTAATGTTTGGCATTACCGCGCTTGCGAGCCAGTTTTATCCTGAAAGAGTTTCCGGCTTGGAGCAGGCAGTGACGATATTTCTTGGATTCTCTATACTCATAAGCTGTACCCGCTTGGTTTCTATCTTGATACTTTTCCCGCGTTGTTACGTCATAATTGATAGCATTGTGACGGCAGGAAGCCAACTTTCCATGTACAGTGTCGCCGTTTTTCCCATCATGTTTGGATACGCTTTTTGTGGTCACGTTGTTTTTGGAGCTTTTGGGGGCTATTTTGGGACGCTGTCGCGTTCAATTGTCACACTTTTCTGCACGACATTTGGGGACAACATTATTGACACATTTTTAGTAATGGACCAATCCACATGCATTCTTCAGATGCTTTTTGGCCGTCTTTTTATTGGTACGTACCTTCTTTTATTTATATGTAACATCCTTAACGTGGCACATAGCATTATTCAAGATTCCTACACGTACAGTGTGCGGATGTACTCGGCGTCACGCCGAGAGGATTCTCGAATACAGTATGATGCTTCAGGTGTTAGCACGGAGGAGTTAGCTGACTTCTTGGAAAAGCTGCGTCGCTAACCACCTTCTTTGCCTTCATCTTTGTGTATATCTGAGGAGTGGATCCCTTATCTTTTTTTTTTTTTTTCTGCACTTGAACGTTATTTATGGTGATGAAAAATGGAATGATGATCCTTTTTGTGCGTGCATTTGTGTTTGTTCTTTTGTTTTTGCTGTTGACGTTTCACCTTCTTGCATTTGTGCGAAATGTATCTTATTTTCAAACTATAGATACCCTTTTCGTTTTTTTTATTGTACGAAACGTGCACACACACAGTCCCATTTTCTATTTCTCCTCCTTTTTGCCAGAGCCATTGTTCTTTGTCTGTTTTTCTGGTTTTTTTTTTTTTTTTTTTTTTTTTTTTTTTTTTTTTTTCAATCCGTTTTTCCTTCTTTCTCTTTTACCTTTTTTCTCTCTTCCAATTTCTTTCACCATCAATCTATCTCTGTGTGAGTGTGTTTTTAGAACCAAGTTGAATACAATACACGCGCACAGGCAGGCGTATTTTGTATATTGAGGGAAGTAAGGAAAATAACAACCTCCCAAAAGCGAGAACCACGGCTGAACGTCATTCTCATAGTTTAACATTGTGCTGGAATCACAGGCTTGAGGGGAGTCTTTTATGTCAGCAGGAGGTGAGGCGTATTGCTCGCCCATACGGCGGCCCATAGGTTGCATATCCGCGGATACATCATTGCGGAGTCCATTGGGATCGTGGTACTCGTGGGCAAGGGATCAATCACGGACGGGTATGTCTCCAGTGGGCTCACCGCAGGGCCGCAGCTTTGCTGTGCATTCGCGTCCTGATGATTTTACACCGCGGCGTGCCTCTCCTGTTGCGGCAAATTATGCCTCTCGCATGTCTGGAATTGGGCCAATGTCCCCCCGTTACGCCATTGTTGCCCGTCGGCGGTACCAAGTGATGACGGCGGATTACCCTGCCTACCCACAAGGAACTCCTACGCGGATTTTGGCGTCCCATGGCGGGACATACTCTTCCGCCTTCTTAAATGCTGGAGGGGTGGGGTCTTCCGCGCGTTATTCAGTAAAAAACGCAAGTGCATTAGCGGCGACATCACAGTCGGCGCAGCAGTCCTCGTTACTCGATGTCGTTGGTGTGTCGCGTCCCTCATCTGCTCATCCGTCGCATCCACAACAAACAAAACAACAACCGCAAAAACCCAAAGAACCCCAAAAACAGCGACAAATTGCGACTCCAGGACAGAAGGTGCGGGTGAGCCGAAAGGAAGATGATTCCATTGTGACAAGCAGTAACGATCTCTCCAATACGGATGATGGGATTACTGTACCGGCTAAAGTGTCGAGTCCGTCACCGTATCCAAGCAGTGGAGTGCCAAGGACGGCTACAAATCAAATGAGAATGAGCACTCCGACGGAAGCCTTCCCGGATTACAAATCGATTGCAGTGGAGCCTATTCCTCAGCAGATTGTGCAAAAGGTTTCGAATCCTGCGCCGCACTGTGTACAAAGGGCAAGTGTGCAGGGTACTTTGCAGATATCATCCACGATGGAGAACAGCTTCCTTGAAAGTTCACGATGCAGTGACCTGAATATTACTCCTAACCGAGAATTACCCATTCATGAAAGCTTGTGTATTACGCCCCACCCAAAACCGACACCTGCCGTATACGCGGCTCGTATGTATCCAACAAAGCAGTCAACGACTGTTCATCGATGCCTTAATGGCATTCCTGCACCAAAGGCACCGCCGCAACCAATAACAGCCCCAGGAAGTACTACACCAGGGACAACTCCTGTACCAAGTGACGAATGCAGCCGAAGCAGCACTGAAACTTTGAATCTAATCAGTCGTTGCGCACGGCGAGCCTCGCCGGTTTACAATGTAATTTCATCTTTTGTTTCATCTCGCCCACTCATTGAAAAATTTGTTCTACGCTGGCGCAACCACTACGAAGAAAACAAGAATGCATACTGCGAAGGAGGCTACATGAGTGTTACTCCAGGCAAGAAGTTGAACTCTCGCTATG